CCTGGGCGAGGGCGACCCCGGCGACTCCGCCATCGAGGACCCGGGGAGCATCTCCCTTTCCTGGCCGGCGGGGGAGGCGGCAGGACGGGGCCCGCAGGGCGTGGGGTCGGGGGTTTTCTCCCGGGGATGGACGGGCGGACGGATGGCGGAGCTCCGCGGCGGGGAACGGGGCTCATCCGCACCGCTAGGAATTTGCCTCTTGTTCGACTCCTCTTCCCGGAGGAGCCAGAGAACAATAAAAAGAGATTCAAGGCTTTATTTTATTTTATTTTTTTTGGATAGAGTCGTGTTATTTAAGAGCAAAAGATCCCGGAAGGATAGCGAAGTGCAATTGGGAGGAACAAAAATAATTTTGGGGGATGTTGAAAAAAGGAGTGGGAAAGTCGCCTGGCTTCTCGGGAGGGAAGATGCGATTTAAAAATCGGGATAGTGAAAAATCCGGGGCGGGGGGGGGGAGAGCAGAGAATTTAAAATGGTGGGATCTTCTCCGGAGGGAAGCCAAGGCAGATCCGGGATGGATGGGGGTCTGGGAGACGCGTGGCCGTTCAGGAAATGCCCGTAAGCAGAAGCCTATATGCCAAAGAGCATTACGGTAGTGCAGTTTTGGATTTAAGAGCCTTTTTCGCGGTGGGGAAAAAGAGCCTCCATTGTGAGTTGCTTTCCTCTACAGCCAGCAGGGAAACAAAGAACATTAGTAGAGGATGGAGCGTTCCCCTACTTTTGCCAGTCTGGTTGGTGAAAAGACATCGGCCAGCTTCTTTAAAGGCTAAGGGGTCTTCCGTAATCTGGAACAATGGAGGAAGATGGATTGTGGGCAGCCTAGATGGAGCAGAGCATTTGTATGGGATAAAAAAAAAATTGAGGCAGGGTGCCTGCGCCCTTTGAAGTGAAAGGACGCTTCTTGGGGTTATTGTTGTGCGCAAGGTAAGGGTTATAGGCACAACTCAGATGGGGCGTCTGATTGATCTGAAAACAAGGAGAAATGGGGTCTGAGAGGAAAGAATCAGAAGGAGGCAAATGGGTGCGGAGCAATTTGGGATGGCATATTATCCATGATTGGATCCTATTTGGTAGTAGTTGTAAAATGATAGTTTTGACCATTTGTAAAATGGGTGGTTTCTTGAGAAGCAGCCTTTGGATAGGCACAACCCCAAAACTACTGGAACATTTTCTAACTTGCTTTCTGCTCGTGCCTGGTTATCTTTCCCTCCCCAGGAGCTGGAAGCCATTAAAGCCAGAGTTCGAGAGATGGAGGAAGAAGCAGAGAAGTTGAAAGAGTTGCAAAACGAAGTTGAGAAGCAAATGAATATGAGCCCTCCACCTGGCAATGGTGAGCTCTTCCCAGAAATCTCCTGCTTTCTGAATTTCAGTTTTCTTCTCAGTCTGGCAAGTGCTGTAATTAATAAAAACTGTACAGGGTATATCAAGAGTCAGGCCTATAGGCCAATCACCATATGTTTTAATTTTTTTTTCTGAGAAAATGTTATTGTACTTAGAAATGTTCAAAGGTCATGCATCGGACAGAGCGTGTAGAAGAAAATGGCAATCCATTCAAATATTTAATATAATTTATAAAATGAATTCTCTATGGGGCCTGACTTTTGGTACATCCTGTATATATCTATGAGTGTGTGTGTTTGTGCATATACACACACGCACAAGTCTCTACAGAAGCTAGATTTTCTTTGTTCCTTGGCCTGGTGAGATGGTGCTAGAGGACACTTTGCCCACTTGGAACACAGGAAGGACTGGCTGACTGCGTGACTATCATGTCCTTGGTTATTTCCAGTAAAGTAGAAACACATACTGTCCAGAATAGGAGTCAAACATTCTTGTTTGTACTTGCTAAAATCCCAACTGACTAGGAAATGAGGGCCCCGAAACAGAGGAAAGGCATTCGGTTGTTGTTGCCTTGGATGTTAGGTAGAACTGCTGCCTTCAAAGCCAGGATATTTTGCATCAGCTAACACTCACCCTTTAGCTAGGGCTGTTCCTGAGTACCGGTAGGCTGGAAAATTCTTCCTTCCACATTATTTCAGCTGCTTCTGCCGCTCTCTCCCTAGCTGGCCCAGTCATCATGTCTTTAGAAGAAAAGATGGAAGCCGACGCCAGATCTATATATGTAGGAAATGTGAGTCCCCACCACCACTTTCTTCAAGCGAGGACAAAAACAGCAGCCCTGTCTCCTTACTGGATCTGTCCTCCATTTCAGGTAGATTATGGGGCAACTGCGGAAGAGCTGGAAGCCCACTTCCACGGCTGCGGCTCTGTCAACCGTGTGACGATCCTCTGTGACAAGTATACAGGCCATCCCAAGGGGTGAGTGAGAATCAAGGACTTTTCAGGGTGACCATTTGTCTTCGTTCAGCTCGAAAGCCGCCTTTGAGCTTGGGGGCTGGTACGATAGAATCAGTGAGAGTCCTGGTAAGCAGCACGGATCTCTTGCCTTCTAATCGTTGGTCCTTCTTCTGCCATTTTCTCAAGGTTTGCCTACATTGAATTTTCCGACAAGGAGTCGGTACGAACGTCCTTAGCATTAGACGAATCCCTTTTCAGGGGGAGACAGATCAAGGTGCGTATGCTCTTTTCAGACCCCTCCCTGCTCTCTGCCTGACTCCAGCATAGCTTTTGAGGCCAACCCTTGGATTGAACCACCTAACCCAGTTTCTCAATCTTGGCCCCTTGAAGATGTGTGGACTTCAACTCCCAGAATTCCCCAGCCAGCATTGTTGAAGTCCACACATCTTCAGGGGGCCAAGATTGAGGTAACACTGACCTAAGCAGTGAGAAGGTGAGGTTTCTGTTTTGGATCTTTTCCCTTCGGGATAATTCCAGCGCTGAAGATGAAGACCCTTCGTTATGGTGAGGTTTCCCCTTTTGCTAGTGCACGAGCACACAGGTTAGGCATCGTCGCTCAGCATATGAACGGTCTGCCTTTTCCCCAAGACTGACCTGCAAGATTATTTTTACCTTTAGGTGATTCCTAAACGGACCAATCGCCCTGGGATCAGCACCACAGACCGAGGCTTCCCCCGGACCCGGTACCGAGGGAGAGGATCTGGTTACAGCAGTTCCCGGGCCCGTTTCTACAGTGGCTTCAGCAGCAGGCCGCCCCGAGGGCGTGCTTACAGGTCTGACGCAAAGGGGTCGGCATATTGGGGGAGGGGAAGCAGGTTGATCCACGGTGGGTGAGGTTCAGCCTTGTAGATGGCTAGAGAATGGGCCTACTAGGATAGAGTAGCAATGCCAGGCTTACAGTATCTGGCATCTCTAGGCTGACAGGGATGAGAAAGGGGTCCTGATAGCCAGAGTAGTTGATTTTGGGAAGAAGAGAGTCTGAAGGAGATTAAACAACAGTCCCATGAGAGAGAATCTTTATATCTCATGGAGCATTGGCTGTTGTAGAGGCTGTTTGGATTTAGGCCTCGAAAAAGCAAAGAACCCAAGTGGATCGAGTTTAGCATTTCATTGCCATGTACTAATAAACTTCCTCGGTCGAATTTCAGAAACTTCTGAAAGTCAAAACACTGTGTTTTGAGTTCAGTCATCAGGTTGTTCTTGAATGAAAAGTTGAGTAAGTTTTAAAGTTACCTTCAGAGTGTGGGAGCCCAAAGCAAGAAAAAATGTGGAGAACTCTTAGGGACTGAGGTTGTAAAAGACTGCAGCTACCCTGTTTGGAAATGCTGAGGCTCCAGACCCAGTTTTTCTGAGCTGAGGATTTCACCAACTCGGCCCCTTCTGTAGCTTTGGGTTTTTAAACATGCTTTTTTTCCATACCTCTTTCATTAACCTGTTTCCTTCTTCTCTTCACAGGGGCCGGGCCAGAGCGACCTCATGGTATTCCCCTTACTAAAAACAAAAAAAGTGGTTGTTTTAGGAAGGAGGAAAAAAAAAAAAGGAAAAAAAATGAAGATTGTTACCATGATGGAAAAAAAATACTGTTGGTGGGAGGAGAATGTTTCTAATGCTGTGCAGAGAAAGAGGGTTGACGTATATGGGAGGGGGGCAAAATAAAACTGTGGGGGGGCAAGCTGTTGTTAAACGCCTGGTAGTATTGTTGAAAGTTGCCCTCTCCACCCTTCCCTTCCATTTGCAGATCTGGGAATACTGGGCTATTCTTCCTCTGTGTTTTTATGAGGGGGCAGTTATGGGGAGGTCTGGGAGGGCGTCCCGCCCCTCCCGGGTTCTGTGATCGTTTTGTTTTTCTTCTGCACCCTTGCTCCATTGTGTTTGTGTGTGTGCGCATCTCTGTGCTTGGTTTCTTCCGCTTTCTTTGCTCTCTCTTTGCCCTGCCCTGCCCTGCCCTGCCCTCCCCCACCCCGACCCAAATGGATTAGCCGGGAAGAAGCTGGCATTCACGGCTTCATCGGTACCATTTCCAGACATTTCCACTCCATGTTTGTTTCTGCTTGGGGTAGCCTCAAATGCCTCATCCTGTTCTGATTAGGGGTTGCAGAGGGATCCTTCCCTGAGCCTGCACTTCTTCTCGATCATCTCTTTGGCCCTTTCCCCTAATGCTCTTCTGCACCCGAAGCATCATTCTAAAATAAGGCTGGGGTGATTCCTGTTAAAAATGGTTACCCCGCCTTCATTCCTGCTCTTGCTCACCATTCAGGTCATAGGTGCTCTGCTCCTCCTGTTCTCCTCCATGTCTCCCTAGGGGTATGTTATATGCCTTGTTTGAGTGTCTTTATCTTCACAGGTTCCTTTATTTTTTAGCCTGAAGAAATACACCGAAACCTGAAGCTGTAGAGACCAGGGGCAGGGGAAAGGACTCCCTGGAGGGTTTGGTGGGTGTTGGGAACCAGATTTCCATGCGGGAGAATGGCTTAAAAAAAAAAAAAAGAGGGAAAAAAAAAGAGGAAAAAAGTTCAGGTTGGGGGGGTGGGTACAGAGGAAGAAGCAGAATGTTATAAGGGTGGAAAAAAAAATAAAGATGTTTTTGGAAAAAACAACAGCGGGTTGTGCGTTCTGTTTGCTGCTGTTTTGGGTACAGAAAAGCAGAGGCTGTTCTATACACGGGGAAAATGGCTCTGATTTGAGTGGGTCAGGAATTTAGCTTTTAGAATGATGTGCCCGATGGACGACTGTTGTTACTCAGATGGCTTAGCTGTCATTGTTATGTTTCCTTGCTTCTGCTTAGAGAATGTTAAAGTTGCCTATGGTTTGCAAAACAAACAGATCCCCATTGTGAGAGCTAGGAGGGGGTTGAGTGCCGAGTTCGAGATACGTCGGCACCGTTGTAGTCGGGCAGTTAGCCTTCTAGTCTGTGTTTCTCTACCGTGGCAACTTGTGTGAGTTTCAGCTCCCAGAATGCCCCAGCCAGCGTGGGAGTTGAAGTCCACACGTCTTAAAAGTGGCTGAGGTTGAGAAGCAGTGTTCTAATCTTAACTCTTTCTGGTGTTACGTGGACCCTGGCAGCGGCATTGTCTCTGTTTGCTCTTCAACTGTGGAAATTTAAAGTGGGTCTATATAATGGACATGTATGGAGTCCTTGGGGCTCTCTGAGCTTGTTTGCTTGCAGACATTTCATTACCCGACTAGGTAACATCGTCAGTGCTAGTGAGGGTGGGTTTTGCACAGAGAGCAAGCCCCACACTAGTGTTGATGTTATCTAGTCGGGTAATGAAATGTCTGCAAGCAAACCGCCAAGCTCAGAGAGCACCAGGACTCCAGAGTTCAACCCTGAGCTACAGATAATGTCTTCAAGCGGAATGGACGTGTATTTAATGTGCCTCCCGCCATGGAGCAAAGATGATGTGTTTTGCATTTGCCCACCAACCTATTTTCCAGGATGAAAGTATGAAGCAGGTGGCTTGCTAGAGGGTGGCAGAATCCATACTGAGGCAGGGATGGTCCCCAGTACGGTTTGTGACACGCCTGGTCTGCTACGTTGCTGTCCCTTTGCAGAAGGGACAGGTGTTGAAGAATAGAAACCCCAGCCAGGATAGAGGAGATATTTCTAGGATGTGATGAAAGCGTAGTGGTGAAGGCACCAGGCTAGAAACTGGGAAACACTGGGTTCTAGTCCCACTTCAGGTGCGAAGCCAGCTGGGTGGCCTTGGGCCAGTCCCCCTCAGCCCTAGGAAGGAGGTGGCAAGGGCAAAACCCTTCTGAAATCTTGTCAAAGAAACTATGGATTTGTCTCTGCAGTCACCAGAAACGGCTTGAAGGCACCACCCCCACAATAAAATGGTTTTAGGAGTGCCTCAAAAACCATTTTATAAAACCTATGGGGGAGGGCAAGGTTACAAATCCTACTGATGCCTCAAAACAAGCAGTTCTGCTATTCATTCCATAATGGGGGGAGAGGGCAGGATTTAGCTTAGTTTATGGATTAGTCTAATGACCATATTGTGGAGAGCTGGGTAGTGTCACTGCCCTTTGGAATATCCTCGTTGGGAATTCAGAGAGCCACAGCTGCACCCCCTCAGGGGAGAAAACCACCATGCCAAGGCCTTGGCAAAGACCCAGGAGAACCAAAACCCTATTTTCTGCACGGCCAATCCCAACCCAGAACTGCTGAGGACGCTGCATCACCGGTACCAGTCTGCCCTCGTTGGCAGCAGGGGCCCCGGTGCCAGTTGGCTCCACCACAAGAACCTCGATGGTGGAGCTCTTGAGGTCCCAGAAACATTGGGGAGCCTCTGGAGGCCCCGTTACCAGAGGGGGCCAGGCCCGTGTTGTTCCTTGCAGGGTGGCCCACCCAGCAGCCTTGAAGAGGGGTTGAGGCTGGCAAAGCGGGGAACCTGGGACTTGGGACCAGGAATCTTTTCAGCCATGAGCCCGTCTTGCGGGTTCTCACTCCTGGGGAGACAAACTTGTTTCTGACGCCTCTACCCCAGTGTTCCTCAAGGGTGGCAACTTTATGAAGGGTGGACTTCAACTCCCAGAATTCCCCAGCCAGCCTTCCCAATTCTGGGAGTTGAAGTCCACCCTTCATAAAGTTGCCACCCTTGAGGAACACTGCTCTACCCCTTCTGAAAGGAGGCGAGAACCCATCGCTCAAGAGGACACCCCAAAACTCTAAATTCTTGTCCAGCGCTTCTAACAAAGACACTGAAGCTTAGCCATGGGATTTCCTAGTGGGGTTTTTTCCTTTTATTTAGCTTATTAACAGTCAGTGTTTCATTTCCCGTTAAGATTAAAAAGCAGTCCAAAATATCGTGAGCCTCTGGGAGGGTTGCATGTTCAACTCCTTGGGGAGGAGAGGGGGTAGTGTGTGCGCACGGGTGTGCGTCTGCCTGAGTGGACCCTCCCGGCATGTGGCGGCCATGCCATTCCTACAGCGATCATCGCTCTCCTGTTGGTAAAAAAAAACTGGTATTTATTCTGGGCCCAGAAAAATGACTGGTAACTGGCGAGAAATTGCACATATATTCCAGAACTGGGACAGGAAACAAATATCCGAAGCCATCTCCCTCTTTGTTTCTGCTGCTGAGGAGCGGAGACAATATTGTTAGACTAAGAGATTCCTGGCTGGAGTTCTGCAGAGACTTAAATGAGAAACTGGCCAAATGACCAGTGCAATGATGGGACATTTCCTGTGTCCAGACAAGAGAGACGGCTGCCAAGAAAAGAGTGGCCTGATCTAGTCATCCTTTCCAGGTGGGGCGGGGGGGATCATGCACTTGAAAGAATTCAAAGATTCCACTTTGGGATTTGGTCACCTCTGGTCCAACATGCTGAAAGCCCTTTGCCAACGGAGGTGTGTTGTTGACACAATTATTAAAAATGGGATGAATGCATAGGTTGAAAACTTGGATCTTGCCTCCGACACTAGTCCACAGACTCCTGGCACTAGTTCCCTTTGCCTAGATCTGTAAAACGGAAACGAAAAGAATTATCTCCAGGTATGACACCCCCAGCCCTCCCCCCTACGTGGTCCCTAGAAGAACTGTAAAAATCCATGAGGGATTTTAAAAACCGGAGAAACTGTCCTATTAGCGAAGCACTTTCAGAGACATACGCAGCCCTTGTCCGAGGAAATCTGATGCCGTATCCTTCTTGGCATACAGCAGTTCGTAAGCCCGAAAACTCTTCCCTTGCCAAGAGATGCGTTTGTAGAAAGGGTATAAAGATTCTCTTCCACGAGGAAAGTTTTCAGATTCTTCTCTCCAGCAAAGTGTCTACGTCCTTGAACGTCTGTGGACGAGTCATCTGGGTTCTGGCTTGACCCTAGTTTCAAATTTAATCGCAGACTGTTCATCTCTGGAATGAAGTCTGGTGGGTACCCCGAAGGTCTTCACTGGTGCTCTCGAGAGATTTTGGGACAACTGGCTGTGAATACTAGGAGTTGCATTCCCAAGATCTAGTCCGTCTGTTTAAAGAAGTGACCGGCATTGCTCAGGTTTCTGCTTCGGGTGCAGCGGAGATGAAAAGGAACAAAGCAGAGATCCCTCAGGCGCCCTTTCAGCCCTTGCGTTCACTTGACGAGCCAACCCTAACCTGGGTTGGCCAAGGTGGTAGAGCCTTGGATTAACCTGCATTGAGGCAGACCGAGACAGCCGTGGCAGTGACATCAGCTTGCAGGGTTCGGGGTGGAAAGCAAGGGGACGTCGTCACGCCGTGTCACCCCCTGGGAGTCCCGGCCCACAGACTCCCCGGCCCGCCGGAGCAGCGAGGGCCTCCTATAGAGTTCTCCATCCTGGAGACCTTCGGGCAACGGTTTGCGCTTGCTCTCCGGCAGCAGCATCAGGCAGAGAAGCGCCAGGATGTTGAGGGAAGCCAGCACAATGTGTTCCAGGAAGGAGCCATGCTGCTCTCGCAACCGGAGCAACGGGGCGCTCAGCCCTCCGAGAGAAGCCAGGGCCAGCGTGATGCCAAGGCCCTTCCCTCTGCAGAAAGAACGGCCTTTGTTATACGAACAAACCTCTCAACTTACGGCGGGGTTATCCTGAACTTAACAAGGAGCAAAGCTTGCACATCTTATTCAAGCTGAATTAACAACCTCCTTAGGTTCGTCACGGGAGACAAAACTTTACCCTAGGCATGAAGATACGGACTCCCACATTAGAAAATCTCAGCTTTCCACCCACCACCTCTCTCAATCTTTCCCGACGCCAGCTTTTAGTTTCAACACCCCTTGACCTCATGTTTTCAAGTCTTAAGGACTAGAAACATGTGACTTTAAGAAAAAAAGAAGGAAAAGAACTAGACACTGGATTTTCACGTGGCTAAAAGTCCAAGAGAATTTAGAATACAAGAGAAAAGGATG